GAGCCTGTGCTCTGCAACGGGAGAGGCCACAACAGTGAGAGGCCCCCCTAACGCAAAAAAAAAAAAAAAAAAAAAAAAAATCTGCATTTGAGGAAAATGCCCTGTGATGCTATCTGTAGGGTACACTTTGAGAAGTGCTGTCTTACAGCATGTCCCACAGCCTGGACAGTGGCATCCGTGGCTCCTCTCATGTTATGCACATATGATACATGGTTCCCTCCCAAGTACCCTGTGCTCTAGCCACATGACTTCTGCACAGTTATGGGGACCCGTGACATTCTCACAGGTATCTTGCCTTTGTTTATGAGACACCATCCATGAAAGTCAACCAGGGCATTGTCTGAGGCTTATTAAGTCCTCAATGATCACTAGCTAGGTAGTAAACCTGCTAAACACTTTATATATAATCTTTGATTTCATTCTCACAACAGCCCTTAGAAGTACCTGTCACTAGTCCCCTTTTCTTAGGAAAGACATGGAAGCTTGGACAGGTTAAGTGGCTTGTCAGCATCACCCACCTAGAAAGGGCAGAGCTGCCCCAGACCCCATGCTTCACCACTGTGGCACAGGGGCCTCCCTGCGTGTCTGACTTGCGTGTGGGTAAGCTCCTCCTTGCTTTCCAAATTCCAAATCACACATTCCTCCTGTATGGCCCTAGCTCTTCTTTTCCCGGTAGGGGCTCGGGGTGCGCGAGGGACTTGTTCAGTGTCCGCAGCTGGTCCCCGAGTACCAGAGCCAGACTCAAACTTGGACCTGCCTCCTCACAGTGAAATGTAGAACACCTCTGGGTGATACAGGAAGCCAGCCTAGGTTTTCAGTTTCTAAGAAATATGGAATATACAGAAGTCAGGCTATTTCCAGGAGAAGAAAGGTCATGTCAGTAAGACGTTGTTAGTGTTTCTTCTGCCTGAAGTCTTTTCTCAAGAAGATACCAACCAACTCCACGTAGGAACAAGGGTACCGTGGCTGTTTTCCCATCTCTAACCACAATGGTTTTCCCCTCACAGAACACATTTGAATCTAACAGGCCAGGGCAAAGCAGTGAAAACAAGTATTAAGTTTTACCCAGTCTGGAAATCAAGCCAACATTTGGAATAAGAATAAGAACACTTTTGGAAAATAGTTGAGTGAAGCAATAGGGTACAGTTCTAAGAAATAAAACCTGGAATAACAACCCCAGGAAGTTAATTCTAGGAATCTTTTTTTTTTTTTAATTGTTGCCTATGGCTCAAGTACTTTGTTGCCTGATTTCTAGGGACACCGATTCTGAATGCATGTAGGGTGGGGCGAAAAAGAGGGAGCCCCTTACTCATCCAGGAGATGTGAATCAACTGTCCAACATGCCTAAGACACTAGTTCCTGTCCTGGAAGGTACTCAATTTGCCTGGAAGAATGGGTCTACATTTCGGCGCAGGTAAATCTGTGACTGGGGGAAAATCTGCCCTTACTGGGGCCTGAATGGGTAGTGTATCGACTGTTGGACTGGCTGGCTAAGAAGCCCTTCTTGGCAGGATGGCTCCAATGGACGTGAAAGGCTGTGATGAAAGCCCTCACTGTTCATTTGTTCATTTCAAAGGCTCCAGAGTGCTCGGACATCTCCACGTCCCTGTGACATTTGCAATGACTAACATAAGATTTAATGTGCCCAACACCCCTCTTAGAGATGACTCCTTTAGAGTAAGAGGTGAATGTACTGAAGCTAAACCCTGCTATTTGGTACCTTGAGTCATGGAGCAAAAAGCTCCTTTTGAGGAATGTAGAACTAGAAAGAGCCTCAACCTGTGCAAATAGTCTTCCTGAATTTTTGAGTAATCCCTTAAAATAGCATATCGATATATATTCAAATACTAGCACATGGTACTTTACACTTTAAGGACAAAACCCCTTTGGAACAAGATTTACAGAATACCCAAGTCAGATGGTGGGTTCTTTGGCTAATCTAGACATTCTTAATCTCTGTTTAACTTCAGCCCTGCCTCCCCTCCCTCTCTCAGGAAACTACTCTCAAATAGTCCTGGGTTTTCCTGGATTTAGTAAAGATAACCTATTGTCCCTCATTAACACTCACTGCAAACCTAGCAGGGAGTGGAGGGAGGTCCTGATGGTGAGGCAGGGTTCTTTCAGCCTGCCTTGCTGAATTCTTCATCCCGAAGTGCAGGGCACCCCAAGAGTGGCTTGAATGGCTCCCAGCAGACCTCACCTGGGGGACTGTCCTTCAGATCTGACCCTGAGACCTCCCTTTGCCCAGGCTCCCCTTCCCCTCCCATGAGTCATCACCTATCAAGAAGGCAGCTGCTTAACCTAAAAACCTTGGCTTCCAGTTTCCCAGTGCTGCAGGATGTGGCTCTGTTACCAGGACACTCCCCAACTAGGGCCTCACCCACACTGCCACTCGTGCCATTTATAGTATAGTAATCAACTTCTCCTTTTACAGTTTGGTTTGTTTACGGAATGATGTCAACTGGGGAAGGAGCTCTTTTTCCTGAGGTCAATACAATACTTGGACAAAAGGCTAAGTGCTGGGAATCAGGAGCAGTGTGGTTTCTCTGGGACACAGACACACATGCTCCTGGGCACACCTCAATCTAGGTTAATCTACCAAGTGAAAATGACAGTAGGGGACAGGACGTTCCCATATCAACTGAGCTTGGGTGGAAACCTCATAGAAAATCGCCTTATTAAAAGTGAATTTGGCATCACTTTCCAAATATCCATGCAACTTTTTTTTTTTTTTGCAGTACGTGGGCCTCTCACTGCTGTGGCCTCTCCCGTTGCGGAGCACAGGCTCCGGACGCGCGGGCTCAGCGGCCATGGCTCACGGGCCCAGCCGCTCCGCGGCACGTGGGATCCTCCCGGACCGGGGCACGAACCCGCGTCCCCTGCATCGGCAGGCGGACTCTCAACCACTGCGCCACCAGGGAAGCCCTCCATGCAACTTTTAAGAATGAATTGAAAGTGAGTGTGTGATGGAAAAAATACAGGCTTTGGGGCCATGAAGTGGAATGATATTCTGATGTGACTTTGGGCAAGACAGTTCTCCTGAGCCCGTTTCTCCATCAGGACAGGGGCATGACCACATCTGCACACAGGGCCATGGTGAAGGTGAGTTCTGGCATGACCGCCACGGAGCCCGGCCTACAGAAGGCCCAGTGGTTACACCCGTGCTTGGGGCTGTTCCCTGTGGCCTCAGCTTCAGGGCCCGGGGGAGAGGCCGGGCTGGGACATCACCTTGTGGTTGTAAAAGTGCCCGTTGATAGAGAACCGATGTCGCCGGATCCTCTGGGCCTCACCGGGGGCGCGGCACCTGGGCCGCCTCTGGATCACACAGGCTGCATCGCTCTTGGTCCGCATAAGCTGTGGGGTCTCCTCGTCCTCCTCCATGGGCTCTGTGGTGAGAAGCGGATGGGGGGGTCAGGCTGGGGTGAGGGCGGTGGTGACAGAACTGCTCCCGTGGTGGTCCCGAGTGTGGAGCGTGGCTCCCTGTAGCACTGAGCTGCAGCAGACGGCGATGTGACCACTGTCCCTGTGACGGAGGCTGATGCCCACTTTGCAGACGGGAAAGGTGACCCCCAGACAGGATAACCTGTGTCACCATGCCACATGGCCATAAGCCTCTGGGTCTCCGTCTCCAGGGATCCAGAGCAGGACTTTGACAGCCCCAGCCCTGTCCTCTGGGACAAGCCCTTCACTGAGTGCAAGGGGAGAGCACAGAGAGGACAGACACACAGGTATTGATCCCGGCGTGTGGGGAAGAGGTCCCAGATGCCTGCAAGGCCAGGAGGCAGCCGCACCCTCTGCTGATGTTTTCTCCTTTCTATAAGGGTGCATGTTGCAGGGACTCAGGCAAACTACGTCACCTCTGCAAGCCTCTGATTCCTTTTCCCTAGGTGAGGAGTTGATAAGAAAGCCTCTCCCGGGTTGAGGGGGGATTTAGCAGGGGCTGCTGCTGAAGGGAAACAAGCCATTCTTTGCTACTCCACAAAGCTGATATTCAGAGACGGTGGTCATGAGCCAACCCCTCCCCTCCTTCCCACCCCAGATGAGCAGGACAGGGTCCTGGGCAGCTCGAGGCCCCCCTGACCTGAGCTGTCTCTGGAACTCAACTCTCTGGGTCCGGCCTGAGCGCTTGGTTCCTGGGCAGTGACTCTGCCATCCTGAAGAGGTGGCTCCTTTCTGAAAAGAGACAACTGTGGTGCTCAGAGGGCTGCAGGCAGAGAAAAGTAGCTCAGGTCAAAGAGAAGAGGCTGGCTGCCTTTGTGGACAGGACACAGGCAAGCATCAGGGCAGGCAGAGCTGAGGCCAGGACTTCATATTAAGTCAACGTAAAAGATTAAAAGAAAAGCAAAGGATCGCCCCAGTGTCTGCTGGAAGGAGAGGGAGTCTGTCCTGAAGACGCGGTGTCCTGTGCTGGGCGCCATTGCATGGACACAGGGACACACACAGTGCCCGGGTGCTGCTGGGTGCTGGGCTGAGGCAGCTGGCATCTGCGGCCACATGCCGAGGGGGCTCTCTGGGCTGCCCTCAGGCTTGCGGGGGTCGGGCAGCAGCAACCTCGAGGGGGCCAACCTCCAGGCCTCTGAGCAGGGTGGTCTCCCAGCCAGGGTAGCTGGTGGTGGGCTGGGGAAGGAATGGGCATGATGGGAAGCAGCCACACGGTGAGGAGGAACCTGCAAGGAGTAGACGGAGCATCCACCCCGATGCTGAGAGGCCTCTGAGGGCCCTTGTCTGAGACTGCTCGTGTGACCACTTTTACCCTCCTTTCTAAGGAGCCCATCCAAACTCTAAGCTCTAAGTCTGTGCAGCTCAAAATTTGCTGTGAGTGACCAGGGATAGCTGGGGACGCCCCAGGGGCGACAGTGTGGTAAGGGCTCTCAGAGAAGCAACTTTACTTCCAATTCTGAAGGGGAAAATGTTTTGAATTTCTGACTCTTAGAAGGATTTATTACATGCAGAAGCAAGCAAAACGCAGCAGCAAACTGCCCGTCTATGGGGTGAGGTGGGAAGAGGCAAACGTCCACTAAAACGATAAGGCAGGTAGAAAAAAGCCATTTCATCCTGATCGAAACATTCTTCTGATAGTTAAATAAATCTGATATTAAATTGTGATAATGTATAAAAATAAATTCTGATATTGGAATAAAAGCAGAGCAGTAGGAGGCTAAAATTGTGTGCATTTTTAACATAGAACAGGAGATGCTGAGATGCTTAGCTTGCAGAGGGTGTTGGAAGCCCCCCACCTAGAGCCCTCTCTCTCTTACGGACAAGGAAAGTTTGAGAAGCACAGCCAGAGGTGAGGGGAGCCTGGAACGTTCTCCAAGAGGGAGGTGATTTGGTTGTCATGGAGAAGGACCACCTGAGGGTGAGGCTGCAGGTTGGCAGGTGAGGTCATGGGCTGAGGACGTCACGGGGCGACAGGAATGAGGTTGGGTTGTCCTGCCATGCTCCTGCCCCAAATGGGAATGGGGCTAGGTTGAGAGCAACTTCCCCCACCCCCGACACCCCAAACGATACTTTCGGGTTGAACAGGTGTCACGGAGACCACCTGGCCCTGCCCCACCCAGCCTGGCACTCACGGGTGTCCTGGTGCCCAGGAGGCGGGGGAGAGGTGCACGCGCTCCCTGTCATCCTGTATCTGGAGCCGGATGGGCCGCCTCAGTCCCCAGGAGATGTTGAGGAGCCCCTCGATGATCAGAGCCCCTTCTTCCTGTGGGGATCCACACGGGTCAGCCTCTTCCCCCAGAGCAGTCGCACTCAGGGGTCACTGCCCACCCTCCCCACCCGCCCTCAGGACTCAGCCCCTGCCCATGGGACTCACCGTGCACTCAGGCCTCCCCAGACACGCCCTCTCCTCCCTGGCGTCCTGTCCTCCTTTGGGGGAAGGCCCACGACCTTCTATGTGCTCCAAGGCACGCGGCCCGGGGCCGAGAGGAAGCCTGAGGCGTGCCCTTCCACCGCCCGGGCGCAGGGTCTGGGACAGGGCGGCTGAATCCGGTGTCCCACAGGAACGCGGCCGCTGTCTGGCAGGCACGTCCACAGAGCGGCAAGGAAACACGTTCCAGGGAAGCACAGCTGTGCAGACACCAGTGCAATACAGGGCACCTCTCCACCCACTGCTGCACCTGGGCAGGGGACCCACGGTCAGCTGGCCCTACTGGGCATGTGCCGAGGGCACTGGATCCCATGCCCACGAGAGCAGAGGTGGACTAGGACGGTCCCCACACTGTTCCCATTAGTGGCCTGAACCCACCCCCAGATTACCGAGCTGCCTTCTTTCCTGAGGGCCAGTCTTGCTTTCCTCACCACCTGGGATATGGACAGTCCCGCGTCCCACCACTGGCACACACGCTCAGAATATCTACAACAGCTCCCAGCCCGTGTCCCCGACCAGCCTTCATTTCCCAAGGTCTGCAGATGGCATGGCCACTCCCCTGCCACCAACCCTGAGGTCCTAATCGACAGAGTCCTCCGGAGGCACCCTCAGCCAGCTCCCACTTGCTCCCCTCAGGTCCTTGATTCTGTTCCTCTGACCTATTTCCGGCTCCTGTATAAGCGCTACCACCTCCAGGCTCCCTGTGTCCAGCCTCATCACTCCGACATGTGTGCCTGGCCAGGCTGCTTTGTCTGAACCCTCAGAGCACCTGCCAGAAACCTTCTCAGCTTCACGCTTCCACAGAGTCTAGGTCTTCCCAGCTATGTGCGCCTAATCTGCTTTGATACTGGTCTTTTGGCAATGAACTTAAATTGTCATTCTCCCAAAGCCATCTCAAGCACCATTTTAGATTCACAAATGCCATTTCTTTCTCCTTGCTGACATCAAAAGCCCTGTGAGAAGAGGCACCTTGTGGAAAATGTCATACCCCTGGCAGCGCTTACGGAGGTGTCCTGCAGTGTCGATTTCACGGTTAGTTAGTAATAGTTTAAAACACCCTGCCATACACGGAGAAAATATTTCTCCTCTGTTCAAGTTTATCAAAAATACACATAGCTTTCTGGAATGGCCTTGCACTATTTGCTAAAAAAGAAAACAAACAACAACAACAACAAAACCCAGAGCTATTTTTGATAACCACTGTTGCTACACAGGCACAGATATGTAACTAAAGATATGGAACTGTGTGTATGTAATATGTGACAGATATGTAACTGTAAAGGAAAGGCTAGATTGATCCACTGCAGTTAAAGGTCCCGTGGGGATAGTAAGAAAACCCAAAGTGGGGCTCAGGTCTTTGTTTTCAGACTTAGCTTCACATGCCTCCGTCAGATGTTGACAGGTCGCCGGAGACAGCCTCTGCTCCACCAGGAACACATCTCGGTGTGTTCATTCATGGACATGTTTATTCGTGGACACCAGCCCCATGATGGACTCTGGGTGGAGGAGATGAAGCAGACACAGCCCCAGACCCTTTGATGCTCTGGGGGCACCGCTGGGGCAGGGGCAGCAAGGCTGGATATACTGAGGCCAGACCTCCAAAGTTGCTGTATGAAGGCTCTGGGGACCTTGCCATGAAGAAAGAGGCAGGGGGCCTTGCTCTGTGCAAGCGAAGGGCTGAGGCAGAGCTGCTGCCTCTGAGGTCAGGGTTAAGCTATGCTGGGGACCAGCTGGCCTGATGTGACTCAGGCCTGGTGTCCCTGCACAAGCGGCACGGGTGCGCCCAATCTGAGCCCCCTACCACTGCTCTCCTGCTCCCCCAGCCTGGCCCCATCAGAATGGAGGGGAGGTCCTGTCCGCCTGAAGCTTTTCTCTGATCAAATCAGAGAAGCCCAAAGTAGAGAAGAGGGGCCTCCAGGGCGGCCCTCACCACGCAGGTGGGGAAGTAACAGGACGAGAACTCAGGGCCCGGGGCCTGGACCTTCTACAAGTTGGGAAATCAACCTGGGCCCCCTAATTCTATCCCGGTCAACACTTCCCTCCTCAGTTCAGCCTATTGGCTTATTTGCTAATTGCTAATGAATTCAAAGAGAGCCAGAGAAACAGACAAAGGCTCTACAGAAGCATCCAGATGGAAAAGCCATCGAGGTGGGACTTGGTATGTTTAACTGAAATCCTGATCACGGGTTGGCCGCATGCCTTGGCCCATGAGAAATACTCTAGCCAGAATGCATGAACTCGGGGCTGCCGGCTCCTGCCACTTGCCTCGGCATCTAGGGTCTGTCCAACAATCAGACTTCCGACCTGAACTTCTGTCTCAGTGACTTGCTTTCCATCCCCTGCCTGTGGGAACAAGACAGGTACCTTCCAGGTGGACCCACGGCTAGGTGGATGATGTGAGGTCTGTCTGAGAAGGGCACGGTGCTGGCTCTCTACAAGGGCTTTCCCAGGGTCACCTGCCTCTCCCTCAGCTGCCTCCTGTGCTGACACACTCACCCCTGGACACTAGCAGTGGCCTCCCAACGCTGGCCAGGTGTTCCTCGGTCTCCCTGTTAGCTGCCCTTTAGCCCACGCACAGCGGCAAAGTCAATCCTTCAAAGCAGAAGCCAGACTCTTGCACCCTTGTTCAAATCCTGCAGTGTCTGTCCATCCCCTTTGGAGGGAAACCCAGTGTCCATGCCAAACCCACTGACTTCTCCCCACCTGGGCCAGTCATATGGGCCCCTGGCTGTCCCCTGCCCAGCAGACTCTTGCCACAGTGGCTTTGCACATGCTGCCCCTCCCCTGGGAACACACGACCCTCATTTGTTCAGCTCTCTGCTCAATGTCCCCTCTTAGAGAGGACCCTCCTGACCCCTTGACCACAGCGCAGCTGGCCTTTTCTTTGCAGCTGTGATCAGTACTCAACATCACAGCACCCATCCACTGAGTACTTAATTCTTTCCCTCACTAACAGCTAAGCTCTAGGACGCAATGATTCGTTCACTGCTTATGTCCTCTGTACCTAGAACAGTCACTGGTGCACAGGAGTACTAATTTAGATACCTGGGGAACAAAGAAACCAGTTATCATTTGAAAGCACCACATCTGGGAAGCAGCAAAACCAGGACCCTGCAGGCTGCCCCTGGTTCCAGAAGAAGATGGGCACATCCCAACTCCCAGCAGGCCCAGGGAGCCTGGCCTTAGCCGCCTCCAGGCTGAGCCCTGCATCGCTGTGTCTGGCAGGGTCCCTCACAGGTGCAGGCCCAAAGCTCTGCAAGAGCTAGCACCGGGCCAGAGTGTCCTGGGGTTGCAGGGTGCTAGTGTAAGGTGTAGTGGGGAACACTTCTAGGCGGAGGTGGCAGAACCTAGGGTTGCTTGTGGGAGCCCAGTGGAGCCCCCTGCCTCTCCCAGTGGCCACCCCACCCCTGCCCTGCAGAGTAAACATTCCCAGAACGTCCCACAGGCGCAAACGCTTGCTCCAAGCTGGCAGCTGGGCCAGGCCCCGCCCGCCAAGCTGTTTTCCTCTGAGAGCCTTCCTGAGAACTGCTATTTTTGGCCCGTATGACAGTAACTGATTACTGGTGGAAAGGTATAAAAGCAGCTGCTAGGCCCCGAGGTTCGCCAGACAGCTCAGGGAGGGTTCCACTCTGGACAGTGGCACATCGTACAGAGGCCGTAGCACATCTTCCTCGTCGTCCTCCTCCCAGCAATCTGACGCCAGACATAAGGCTCCAACTGCTGGACCCCGATTCCTCTGCCCTGAGCTTCCTGGGGGCTTTCTGTGGACTTCCTTGCTCATCCAGCTCCCCTGCTACCCCCAGACCTCCTCAGCTACAGGTAAGAGACAGCAACTGCCCTCTGGTTTGAGGTAAAATGAAAAGGCGTTGGGTATCTTTGAAGCAGCTCTCAGCCTGGGACGCGCACAGCCTCACTGCGGGTTAGAGACCAGGATGCAGCTAACTGTGGTAACAACAGCTGCGGAGGCCTTTATATTCATAATGGAATTTCCCATGAGGTGTCATTCCATAAGCTTTTCCCAACGCCCCTGAGAGGTGTATTTTTAACCCCATTTTATGGATGAGTAAGTGGAGGCTTGGAGAGGTGACTTTGCCAAAGGACTCCGGGTCAGGAACTGCTAAGTTTGGTTTTAAACCCAGGTTTCCTCTGACTCCAGTCCGTGAGGCTGGGTTCTCTGATTTGTACAGGTTCTTGAACAACAGTAATGATAGAATCTTAAGTAATGTTAGCAGGAAGAGCCCAGGAGTTCGAGCCTGGTCTTGGATCTGCAGACTTTAAACTGCTCTCAGACATGTGATTCACCCAGGCAGCCTCAGGTGGGGAGGGGACACAGGAGGGGTGTCAGGATGGCACACTAGTCCCTCACCCCAGTCCTCTGTCAACCAACAGGTTGCTGCTTCCTTGTGGCCGGCAGCCATGAGGTCCCGGCTTTTGCTTTCCGTGGCCCACCTGCCCACAATTCGGGAGACCTTGGAGGAGATGCTGCCCGGTGGGCCTGGAGAGGACCCCCCCGCCTCCCCTAGCCTGGATGACTACGTAAAGTCCATCTGTCAGCTGGCGCAGCCCACCTCAGTGCCGGATGAGGCTGCAGCCAGGGTCCGACCCAGTAGACCCCACCGGCCAGCCCGTTCCCGTGAGAAGAGCTGCACCACTGGGTCCCTACAGGACATCACCACCCGCTTCAGTGGCCAGCAGCCCACACTGCCCGGGGCCAGCACTGTGGACCCCCTGGACTGGCTCTTTGGGGAGTCTCAGGAAAATCAGCCAAGTGGGCGGGACATGCCAAGGAGGACTGGATCCTCTGCTGACCCCTGGGCTTCATGCAGACAAACGGACAGTGGCAAGGCCCGGGGGGCCCCCAGAGGGAGGCTGAGTGATGTCAGGGCTCCAGGGCACTCACTGCTGAGACTGCAGAAGGACTGGCACCAGTGCTCCCAGGCTTCTGGGCAACCTGGCCAAGATGCAGTTTCCCCAACAAGCCCCCGTCCCAGCAGCGTCCTTAGAACTCTCTATTTGCACCTCCCCGTGATCCATGAACTCTGACCCCTCCCTAATAAAGACTTCTGCAAATAACATACAGGTCTGTGTCACCTCCCCACCCTCTCCCTCCCCCCACCCCAGGTGGGCACCGCCCGTGGCAGGTCTCTGGGAGGGAACAGAGCCTCTGCAGAGAGGCTCCCTGCTTTGGCAACTCATAGTGAGACCCCTGATCCAAATAAGAGCCTATCTCACATGATGTGGCAATCGATATGCATCCCATCTGCACTGCTCCTAACTGGCTGATCACCTTGGGCAAGTTATTTTAACATCTCTTCCTTGGTTTTCTCACGGTAAAATGGGGGTAATTAATGGGACCTGCCTCCTAGGTTGTGCTGATGAGTAAATGGGCTAAAATGTGCACACATCCTGGGGTGCATGTTACAAGCCCACACATGGAGTAGCTGTTGTTTACGTGGCTGCCTCACAGGTGGGGAAATGAGTAGGTGGGGGGAGAGGAGAAGCAAAGGCCTCAGCCCCGGTGGTTTCAGAGCCAGGCCCTGGGCACTCTCAAGTCAGCCCCGTGGCTCCCCACACCCCTGCTACCCCCAAGAGGCCCGTGAGCAAACAGGGGGTCTCAGCAAATGCACCTGCTGTGTTTCAGGGGACCTGTCACTGGGTCACCCGCGGGTACCTCAGTGGCTCCACCTCACAGGTCCTGTTGTGTCGTGGGGAGTGTTTTCCCCATGCTGATGGCCAAGACAGAACCTGCACCAGCTAAGCCTGCGGGGCACCAAACGACTGGACCAGGTGGCCCTGTCCCCGCCCATCCCCACCCTTACCTGCCTCCACCCAGGGGCCACTTATCCGTGGGGCAAAGTGCAGGGTGTTGTCCAGGTGCCCTGCTCTCGGGCAAGTTCTGGGGCCGGGGCCTCACTCCACATGTCCATGGGTCCCTCACAGCCCTGGGTCCCTACATCCTGGCAAATTCCAGTTCCCAGGGGCATCTGGCAAGCAAGGAGGTGAGGGTGAGGGATAGGGGAGGGGGCAGATTGCTTTCCTCAGGGAGACAGGTGAGGCATCAGAGAACTCAAAAGAGACAGGCTTAAGACCCATTGCCCTGTTCTCTTGGGCCAAGCCAGAGCTGGCTGCCCTGGTCAGCGTGGGAGGGACACAGGAGAGGAGGAGGATGCAGCTGGGGCCACGGGCAAGCTCATGGCCAGGTTCAGCTTCCCCCACCTCCTTGCCCTGTGGACTAGCAAACTACTTTGCCTTCCTTTTCTCTCTCTCCCTCCCTCCCTCCCTTCCCCCCTTTTTCCTTTCTTTCTGACGTTAAAATATTTTAAAAATTGCTTTGGACATTTACAATATTTATCTGTCTTCTTTTATGTGTGTTTTGTGGGGAGGCAAAATGTAAACCATGAATTTAAAAGAAAAAGTTTCAGACAAGCAGTTTACTTAGTTTCCTGATCTGTAAAATGGGGACAGCAATGCCTGTCCTTCATACCCTACAGTGGTTGGGGAAACAGTACAAATGAACTTGGAGATGGAGTTATAAGCACTGTATACAAATTTTCCAACTGTCACAACCACCGTGTCTCTGGTTGACTCAAACCTCTGGGTCCCTGACTTTCTCCAGCAAATATGTGTGGGGCAAGCTTTGGCCAGAATGTCCCAAGGAGGTGGTGAGGAGGGCTGATCTGCTGACCGGGTGCCTGGCTGGTGACTGGACGGGTCAGGCTTACTGGGCCAGCCTCATAGCAAAGCGGTGTGAAACTAGGATGACGCTGGCTAATCCCCCCAAGCTCAGAAATCACACTGCTGCATTTGGGGAGATCAGATAGGGCCAAGGAGATTCCTGGGCTCTGGGCTCCTCTGCTAATACCCCCCCCCCCCCCGACATAAAAGAAGCTAATGGCACCTTCAGAAGGTGCCAGAAAAAAAAAAAGATGAATAAAGGGCTGGGGGAAGGGGCTTCTGGCAGTGTCCCAAGCTCCTGAGGACAGAAGAGCTGAACAGAAAGTCCTCGTGGTGGGGCCCTATGGAGCAGTCTCATTCTCCTCCCACCCACCACTGAGACAGGGAAGGGACACAAACGCCCCTCCCGCCTGGAGCGACAGACTGGAAAGCACTCAGGAACCCCCAGGGAATACATCCACAGGCCTAGCACTCACCAGGAACCGGTGGTCTGTCAACCCTGTCATTCCTGCCTTCAGGTCTTAGAAGAAGGGGGATCATTATAAGAGGGAAGGGGACCCCTGGCCGAGGGAAGGTCCTTCCCTTTCTTGCACTCGTGCAGGGAGCCAGGGGCTGAGGTCCTACACTGGGTGTAGTGTGCGCTCAGGCCACCAGGGGGAGCTTTGAGCCTACTCAGAGCTGAGCGCGGGGCGGGGTGGGAGGCTGGCTTTGGCAGCAGCCACACACCAGGACACCAGGGCCCTACTGCCTCCAGCTCACACAGTCAGCAGTGATATATTTGCCCACTGGCATTTCCGGGGTGGTCCATTATTCTCTAGAGGCACCAACCAGCCTGGTTAAAATGCTTTGCTCTCTTCAAAAGGCACAACTGCTCCCAGTTGATCACACTTTTCATTGTAAAACAAGCAAAATGATCCCAAAGGCAAGGTTTACAATGAAGGAAGCTACTGCTTCGGCCTCCTGAGTGGGAATCCTTTGTTCCTAGTTCTGTAGAAGCTGGGGGAAAGTTCACAGGGAAATGCCTGCCCCAGGGTATGGCCCCTGCCAGTGACACATTTCATCTCTCTGAGTTCTGTGGGCCCCAGATGAGACAGTGGACAAGAAAGTGCCCCAAACTGTAGCAGCCAGGCTGAGGCTGCTCCGGGGCAGGCCCAGAGACAACAAGGTGGGTGGAGGGGTCTCTTGCAGAGCCCCTTGCGGCGCTGGGAGGGCATACCCGAGGCTGAGCGCCCCACGCTTAGCTTTGAGTCCCTGAGTCCTGGTGAGTCATACCCAATCAAGACCTCCACAGACCTCCAGAGCTTAATGCTGGCGATGGTATCTCTGTATTATACACTTCTCTGCTCAGGCCTTGGAGCCACGCCAGAGTCTCTGACTTCCTTCAGGGTCATCTTGGGTCAGACACTCTAAGAGTCTCAGTTTCTTTGTTTGGAAAATGGTCACTCCTCCCTCACAAAGCTCTTGTACTACAATAAATACAAGAGAGGCAAAGCTCCTCTTGTCTGCCCTGCCCTCAGCGTCTGCAGTGCCGGGACAGCCCAGTCTCAGGTGGCCCGGCAGCAAGTTCTAGGAACTATGAGTCTCTGAGGCCCAGAAGGTCCCAGGTCAGCAACCTAAGGAACTGCAGAGCCCCGGACGCTGGGTGGTGGGTGAATCACCCAGTAGACGTGGTGCCCCAGGACCCAGTCACGCATTTCAGCATTAGAACTCCCGACTCCCAAGCCGGTAGCCTGTCTCTATGGTGGCGGTCGCCTCCCAAAGACACACACTCCCTCAGGCCGGCACACCTTGGCTGTTAAAGCTGCAGAAGGTTCCTGAAAGGTATTTTCCGGCTCCAATGAGATCAGGTCAGACCCTCACACCTTCTTTAGGGTTAAGAATATGAAAATCCCTGCCTGTGGGATGTTAAATTCCTGCCTTTGGGGCCAGCAGGAGCACCTCTTCCCCAGTGCAGGGTCCTATACTGCTCCGTGTGGACTGTCCCATCACACAGACAGGTCTGGGGCTTCCCTGTCCCTCTCCCCACTCAGCTGTTCCTACAGAGAGGATTGTTCCAAGTGCCAAGATCAAGCTCTTAGACTAGCTGTTCTCAGACTTGGCCTTCATCAGAATCCCCTGGAGGACTTGTCAAAACACAGCTGGGAGGGTGAAGCGTTTCTGATTCAGCAGGCCTTCCGGAAGGAGGGTGATAAGAATTTGCAGTTCTAACCAGTTCCTCGGTGATGCGGAAGCTGCTGGTATGGGGACCACATGTTGAGAACCATCGTGATCTTAGAGCAATCCCTGGATGGCCCAGAGCTGAGGAACAGGGTCCAGTCAGAAGACCCCACCCCATACCTTCAGCACAAGAACTGAAGTGAGCCCAACTCCTCACTTAGCAGCACAGATCAAAACTGCCCAGCACGCTGGGGCTCAGGACTCACCCCAACTTGCTCCAGGCCTGCATCTGCTGGTTAGTTATCTAACAGCTATGCACAGGTACCGCTCCATGCCTAGCCGAGGGGATGCAGGACTAGTAGGGCACTTGGCCCAGGTCTAGGGGCTTATCACTCAAGTAAGAAAAGAGACAACGAAAGCAGAGATAGCAGGATGCTAGGATCAGAGCCCTGCGGGCAGCAGTAAGGAGCTGGGCCAGGGAGCGTTGCTGAGACAGGTGTCAGAGGCTGCTCTGCAGAGGAGGGCGAGCACAGAAGCATGCAGAAATCCTGAGGGGTGGGGAACAAGTTGTCAGGGCTGGTCCCAAGGCCCCATGCAGGGTGGGTGGGTCAAGGGGAGGCAGAGTGTGAGGTCTGTGCCATTCCAGGTTGTCACAGGCGGCCTAGCACTGCCTGAGCCAGGAGCTAGCAGCCTCCCTCCCGTCCAGGCTCCTGAACTGTGTGACACTGGCCTGGCCTGGCTGATGGAGGTCACCTCCCTGACACTGACTGGCGATCCCCCTGCTGCCCAGAGCTGCCTGCACCTTGGGGCTCACCCTCTGTTCTAGTAATTACAGAAGGGGATGTGTGGTTGTTTGAAGAACTAATGGAAGCGAGATTAGTGAGCACAGTGGCTTCCGCCTGCGTGAGGTCTCTGTGGGTTGCCGGGGCTTGAACTGTCCATTCCCATGTTCAACAACAGAAGGGGAACTCAGAGGCCACTGGCCCTTGCCAGACACTGATGGGCTACAGAAAATTCCAAGAGTCAACCTGATCTCAACCGTGGAAACCTCCCAAAATAAAGCCTAATCACCATCACGATAAGACACCCCATTTTGGCTTTTCAAATGCCCCAATATCCCAACCAGGGTTCCCATGTGAAAGATCTGGAAGTTCTGGATGGTGGGTGGCAAGACCAGGCCTTCACCTGATCTGCCCGGTGAGCAGCTCCCCGAGCCTGGGCCCTGCTGGCCACTCCCTGGAGTCCAGCTGGTGCCCACGTGCTTGTATCTGGCTTGTTTTGTTTAGGCCACACAGTGCTTCGAGGTTTGGGAATTCCACATGAAATTCCAGATACCTAGCTTCCTTTGAAAAATCAGGAAGGGTCTGGGTGTACCAAGCCCACATCCCTGCACAGCTGCCCTGGGTTTGATCTGACCTGTGCTCTCCAGTGTCCTCCACTCCCCATGCCCACCCTGCCTCTCATGTGAGGACCTTCCTGGCCCTGTAAGCATCTTCTGGGGAGCTCTCCTCTATCGCAAGGCTTTCCTCTTGGTTGACAAGCACAGAGACGCTGCTTTCACTCCTGCATTGCCCCGTGAACTTGGGCAAGCCAGGGCCTTGTGCTGAGTTCCTCATCTGTGCTGGGATGAGCAGAGGAAGCGCTGGACTGTGCGGTCTCAAAGATGTCAGACTCCAATGTCCTGGCCTTCACGAAGACAAAAGTCCCAGGTGGAAGGAGAAGGCCCACAAGGGGATTTCCATCGGCTCTGCATTCTCACGGGGATGGTCCGACCCTCAGTACCCCTTGCAGGGATTTCAAAGGAGATAACCTGGTCCCCAACTCAGGGGATGGGTGACCTTACAATTTATTATCCAAACTGGACACTCAGAGTGAAGGAAATAAGGAAATAGTCTTAAGAATTACCCTTGATTAACAGGTATAAAGCAGCACTATTTTTGGCAAGCCAGGATAAATGGTGACCCTATGAAAAAGAAGAGAAATGGGCCTTACCTCTCTGTGTCTCAGCTGAAAGCTTCTGCCCTCATGGTAGCAGTTGTAGGTTTTCAGCAGGCTTAAGAGCTCCGACCTAAAAAAGGTAAAGACACCCATATGCTCTTGGAATGTGGTGGGACCTTGGATAAGTCATTTGGCTTCGCTGGGCTCAGTTTCCTCATTTGTAAAATGGGCATAATGTACACGTTTTGCCAACAACATATAATCCATTGAGAGACTAGACTTTGCCATCAGACACACACCCTTTGGTCTTCTAAGAAGTTTTGCAGATCAGTGCTCCTGGAAAGCCCGGGGTTGGGCTGCGAAGGAAGCAAAACTCACAGAGGGGCCCAGGTCAAAACTCACAGAGGGGCCCACGCTATTGTACTTCTAGGGTGTTTGCACAATTTCACTATTATAGATAAGAGTTCCTGACAATCTCCCTGTACCTTACTTCTGAGTCACCTTCTCAGAATAAGTCACTTGGGCTTGGATAATTGGCAGTTTAAAGGCTTGCTTTTTCTACCCATATTTCTTCATACAAGGGTCTGGGGTGGCTGCTATGAAGGTGCCACCAGGGTGCCTCTTCCCCATCCTGACTTCCTGGATGTGTGATCAAGGGATGAAGGTGACAGCCCCTGAGAGTAAGATCCTGAAGGCCCTAGGATGGCTACTCTGTCCAAATGCTGTCTCCCCAGGATAAAGGGAAAGCCACAGCTTGTGCCTTGACTGAGGTGTGGCAGAGAGAAAATGCGGACAGCTCCCTGTACCCAAGCTGGGCTCTGCAGGGCAGTGCAGTCCAATAGACATGCAATGCAAGCTACACACATCATTTTAAATCTAGTAGCTATACTACCAAGGAAAATAAAACAGGGGAAATTAGTTTTAATAACACATTTTATTGAATCCAGTGTATCTAAAATATTATCATGTCAACATGAAATCTATGTAAAAATTATTAATGAGATTCTGCTCATTATTTTATTTTGTAAGAAATGTTCGCTAGCTGGAGCACCTTTTATATTCACTACATCTCTCCAGCCACAGGTCCCATGCTCAGCAGCCACATGTAGCTGGTGGCTCCCCTACTGGACAGAGATGCTCTTGAACCTCTCAGGTAATGCTTTCACCCACACTTGAGCAACCCAGGGCCTGGATGAGAAAAACACACTCTGGTGCTCTGTTGTGCAGCCCTGTGTGATGTGGGGTGATGGTAACTGACAAGGGAACCCATTTACAACTTAATGGCATTAACAATGCAGGATTAAATGCTGCATGTTCACTGTGTTTATAAGTGTGCAAACACTGAATATAAAATTGTTAGGATATGTACATGTATAACATATCTAAATCATGTATGGTTGTTATTATGACTTTTTCAAAATGATATTTAATATTGTTACATTGTTCTTATTATCAGATCTAAATAAGGAAATGATGGTGTGGGAGTTCTGTCTGTGTTCTCAGGGTCTTTAGTAGGAGGACCCCAGCGGGCAGGTCCTCAGCAAAAGCTAGTCCATTTCAAGGAGGCTTGGTTTGTCTTCTGGATGGCAGATAGGAGCTACCCAAATTTAGAAAATACTTGGACTCAGGACTTGAAAAGCAAGATAAAATGAAAAAATACACTTTTCTTTAGTTCAGCAATGAACTTGGAAAAGTATCCCAAACAGTTTTTTTTATGATGAGACCAGGAGTCTCATCATAAACAAAATAAAATAAATAAAAATAAGCTAAGAAAAATATACTTTTTCAATAAAAACTCGAAACTAGTTTTGAGGGTTTTTTTTTTTTTCCTGAATTGTTTAATGCAATAAGATGTCAGTATTGCTCTAGTTTTTATATAAATTAAATGCCATCTCTGCAGATTCACAGTAGGCACTGTCACGCTTTCCCGCTTTTGTCTGCCCAGGGAGGCGGGGGTCAGACTCATGCCTTGACCCTTGATCTCCAAAGCACTTCAAAAAGAAATGCTCTCATCACTGTCCCTGGGGCAGGCACATCATTGTATCTACAAAAAGTGCCCAGAATTCCTCCACCCACAGGCTGCCCATGGCAGGGGAGTGGCCATGGGGGGAAGGCAGGCACGGAGACCCCTCTTTGCTCACAATGGCTTACTTCAGAATGGACTTGCTGTCGCTGATGGGCACGTGAGAACTGGGTGGACAATCTTCCTTCATCTTCTGCTGTTGTCTGCAGACTCGGAAGTTACCTGCTGGTAGATAAAGGAGGGCCCACAGACACCTAAGCTGGGAGGAGTGATGGCCAGTGTGGCGCCGGAGCCTTGGTGCAGAGGCTGGAGCTTCTGCCTCACCTCCCACCTCCCCACCCTCTCACGTCCCCACGCCCCAACCCCTACCTCACTCCCACCCCACCCCCGACCCCAGGTATAGGGCCAGACGAAGAGGACTTCGTGGGACCCCACACCCACACATGTCAGCCCTGGCAGGGCAAGGTCAGAACTGCCCTATCAGCCCCCTTCCCAAAACCTCTTCATGATCCCCAGGAATCAGATCAGTCTCCTCAATATTTCAGATTATATGCTTTTTTTCTTGATGGAAACCCTGAATGATGGTTTCTACCTTGATTGCTCCCTCAAACCTCTAAGTCACCCCTGGCCTTTCTCCTCCGTTTCCATGGAGGCTGAGGTGGTCCCCCCATCACTGCCTTTGGAGTCAGCACACCTGGACCAGCTCTCCTAGTGACGGGCTAATCGGTACCATTTTCACTACATGCTGGAGACTGTTGAACATATTCTATGAATTATCTTGTTTATTCCTTACAACACCATTATGAGGTAAGTACCATCCTATTCCCATTTCACGGATGAGAAAACAGGGACAGAAGTTAAGTACTTGGCCCAAGATTCCCAGTGAGTAAATGGCAAAGTCACCAAACACAAGCATCTAGACTCCAGATGCTGGTCTCTTAGCCCCTTCTCTATACTGAAATCGGACAGTAACTTAAACCCCCAGACCCTTCATTTTCTCATCTGTACAATGGAGTAACCTCTATCCTATAGGATTGTTCGTGGACTCACCCATGAAACTGTCTCTATCTCTTCTCATTCACAACCTGGAAAAGTGTGTGGAGCTTCCCAAGCCCTCCTGGGTTTCTTTCACAGAAGGTAAATTCACTAGAGCTTTCTCTATCCTGTTGGCATCCTCCGTACAGATTCTTACTTCTCTCTGTCTCTGCATTATTCTGGCCGAGCACTTTCTTATCAAGGCCCGCTATGTGTCGGGCACTGAGCCACAGCTTCACACACACATGCATACTCTAACCTTGACCCTGCCCCTACCCCCCCTTCTCCCAAGTTGCAGCTAGGAATCTGAGGGGTTTAGTTACCCTGGGAGGTGGCACCGACAGGGCACACAGTGTGTCTTTCACACCATGGAGGTGGCTTGGCTCCTTCACAAAAAAACCCAACATCTGTTCACACAAACCTGTGGCTCAATCGCGTCTTCCTGACCTGTGTGTGTGCCAGTGCTCCTGGGGGTGGGCGGGAGGTGGTCAAGGTCAGGTCCAACTGCTGTGGTATCGGTGACCTCAGAGCAGAGCCCGTCGCGGCAGAGGGGCGCTGACTCTGACTAGCCCCGCACACTCTTCCCTGCTGGCTTGATCCACCCACAAACAAGATGTGCCAGCCTTCTTGTGGCCACATCAGCCCTGAATGAGCATTTGATTCTGGAGGCAGGGGACACACGGCTGGTGTAGACAAGGGGAATGGTTTGAGAGAGGTGGGCTTCCCAGTGACATCAGAATCATCCCCTAAATTCCTCCCCTCTGCCTGAGTCTACAGTGAGGCAAACTGTGGCCTGCAGAGAGGGCAGGCCCCCAGCTGTGGCCAGCAGCCAGCCCTACCTCTGTAGGGCACAGGGCATTGGCACCGTGGGGGCCTGGAGCTGGGGACTCCCAGCTGCCTTCTTCTTGGCCTATTTCAAAATAGGGTTTCGGTTCCTCAGCACCTCAGATACCCTGTGGAAAAAGTGATCTGCCAGGCTCCCTCTCTGGGTCCTTCCTCAAATGCTTCCAATGCAGAAGCCGGCTTCAGCTCAGGGCAAGTCTGGGTTTCTCCGTCAACACCGTTTCTGTGGGTCCATGACACAACTGTCTTGCTTTCAGCAAGCTCATAATGGGAAGGGCTGGATTTACCCAGAAATAACAAGAGATGGTTTTTTTCTCTTGCTTTCCTCTGTAGCCAGCTTCTCTTCCACTCCCCCCACTTCCTGCTCTGAGCTCCACAGTTCCCCTAATGGGTTCTATGCTTTTTCTCCCCTTTGGGCTTGTACAGCCATTCTCTGCTCAGAACCCAGCGTCGTCCTCGTCCTATACCCTAAACCGTCGCTCGCCAGGAAGCCCGTGCCGGAGCAGACCCGCTCTGCAGCAGTAGTAGCAACAGCTCCTCTCTGGCCTAGCTCCTGCTCTCGGCTCTCCCCTGCAGGGCCGGTCTCTTGTTTGGACTATCCCAGGAGAGGAGGAGGGTGGTGTGGCTGGGATGTTGCCTTTCTGCCTCACCACTTGTTTCCAGCATGGGAGTGCAAGCCTGGGACGCTGCAGGAGGTCCGCAAATGGCTGTTAAATCATTGGACAAATACAGAAAGCCTCATGGGGTCCCCCAAAGTCAACTTTCCAGAGTTGCACATACACAGCTGGAATAAATCATGCAAAAGTCTCCAGGGGCCAGGGAAGTGACTCAGCTGAGGGACACTGGTCAGGGGACTTGGGGACACATTCCTCTTCCAGAGGGGCAGGTCTTCTGGTGTTCTGAAGCCAGACATCTGGATTTTTATGGGCTACATTTTACTGTTTAAAGTTGGGTGACTGTGGTAGAGACAATTACTGCCCCTGGAATGATCACATGATAGCTCCCGTTCCCCAGCCCCCTGCAGCTATGGGGCCATGTGACTAGCTCTGCAAACAGAAGTGTTGTTGTCACTCCCAGGCCAGTGCATCTGAGCCAACGCATGACCCTGCGGCTCTCTTGTTCCCTGTCGTGGTGACCCAGAAAGCCACATGTCCCAGCAAGTACAGCTTCTTGATGGTCAGCCTGGGTCCCAGAGTGCTTCTGCGGACGCCTCTGCCAATCCACAACGAATATGGACTGGGAAAGAGAAATAAACCTCTGCTGTGTTTCAGGGATTTGTTACTGCAGCATAACCTAGGCTATCCTGACTAATTCAGTAAATAATAAAGTTAAAATGAATATATATATGTATGTATGTGTGTGTGTGTGTGTGTGTGTGTGTGTATGTGTGTGTGTGTGTATGTGTGTGTGTGTGTATGTGTGTGTGTGTGTATGTGTGTGTGTGTGTATGTGTGTGTGTGTGTATGTGTGTGTGTGTGTGTGTGTGTGTGTGTATGTGTATGTGTATAACTGCTGACGCATGACATGACTCCATTTATGAACACTGTCTTTCTCCCAAAGCATGTGGGGAATATGCCCATTTTGCTCTATTTAGTAGGGACACTTACAAGTGGAATTCTCTATATCAAGCAGTGATTAGTTATTAATAGAAGATGCTTCTTAAAGTGCTTTGGGCTGGGAGCTGCTAAAGACCCGTGTAGCTTCAGTTGCATGTTTTTTCCTCTCTGGGCCTTGATTTTCCCATCTGTACGATGAGAATATTGATCTCCAATGAGTTAGAAATTTTCTCAACTGTAGAACTCTTTGTTCAAATGCAACAGTTATGCAAATCAGATTAAAGGGGCTGCTCTGGTCGAAGGCGAGGTGCGTGGCGGGAAGCCCCATCCGCGGCTTTGCCTAGGGCTCTGGATAATGCTGTGCTGAGTAACACAGGAGAGGCTCCCTGCAATGGCCTTTTGGAATGCTTTACCCTCAAGAACCTGCTTACTTAAAGGACAGGACCAACAAGCCGAGTGTCTCCAGCTGGAGTTGGGTGACATCAGCTGGGGGAGACAGCTCAGAGGGAATCAGGAGGAAAGTGCAGAAGCGTCCTGGATTGCAGAGAGCAAAGTGAAAGGACAAGGTGGCTCATAGGGTAAGCAGCTTATGTGGCAGGGACAGAGAATGGCGTACACCATCCCAGGTGAGGGAAGGAGATAAGTGAACAAGGCTGGGGGGAGGCAACGAACTGAGGGCTCTTTCAAATTGCCGGGCGGGGTCTGAGCCTTACGGGGGGTGGGGTGGGGGGTGGGGAATCTTTGCTCTATAGAAAAACAATCTCGTCTTTGAGAGAACCACATACTGCTGTGTCCTCTGACATCCATCATGTGCGTGGCCCGAAGCCAGTCTCGTGGTCTCTGGTTCTCACGTGTCCCATCCCGCCACCCCAACTCGGCAACACCTCCATCTCCTTGTGCTCCAGACCTGAGCTCTGGGGTCACTCTCAGAATTCCTCTCCCAATGCCAGCACTGCATTTGTGCCTCCTGTACCCGACTGGAGGTAGAGGAGGCTTTCATTGATTTTGATACTCCCAGTGTCTTGTCTGGTTCTCAAGTGAGCTGCATGTGTACCTGAGAGGCATCCTGGGGGTAACCTGAATGAGAGAGCTTTGAGGGACAGCAGGCACACAGACCCCGGGAAGAAAGCCAGCTGAGATTTCTATTTGGAGCGTGTTCCTGAAACCGCCCGTTAAACACTCACTGTCCTCATGCGTTGGGCAGGACTCAAATGAATCTTCAGTGGAGTGTTTTTCTACCTTTTAAAAAAGGACAATCTTATCTTTAAATAAAGCCCTAGGAGTAGCTTAACACACAAACGGATTAAAGCGGGGCTGCTTTGGTTGAAGCAGGAGTCGGGGAGAGGATGGGCTGGCCCACCACCCAGGCGCAGGCTGCAAAGCACAAAGTGACAGGTACAGCTGGGCAGGCCAAGCCCTGTGTCTCTGGGGAGTCCAGCCTTCCTTGTCCCAGCCTGCTCCCCTCCCCCAGGCCCCAGGGCACAGAGCTCAGGCCTCCACATTTGCTTCCCTGGCTGGAGGAGGCTCTGTCCCCAACCCGAGGACTCAGGCTGCGCCAGGGCTCCCCGTCCCCCGGAGGAGGGGCCCCAGGGCAGCAAGCCAGCCATGGTTACCTGTCCCAGTGAACAGGCAGTGGATTGTTTTCGCTTTCCACTTCAGCAGCTGCTCTGCCAGCCGTGAGGAGGGGCTGCTGAGGACAGTGGGCCCGCTGCCTGCCCTCGCTTTGTCCCTGGCCTTTGGTTTGGGACAAAGGACA